TAATGCGGACATTTTTATAATGCTTATAAAATAGCCTTAATGAATTTGATTGTGAAGCCTCTGTGGATCTTTTAACATTTCAATTTAATTCACATCATTTACCAGAATACTTTAGGTATCACAATCTATTAATTTATTTTTTTGCACTTGTCAACAATTCCATTCGTTGACAAAATTAATGATTGCCGTTGAAAAACTTTTACAAACTGTGCCTAAGATTTTTGCCAACTTTTGGATTACTTTGAGGGGCAAGCCAGCAGTTGTTCTTGTATACCGTATTTTGTTGCTGCAAATATACATCTATCATACAGGTCTTAAGTATTTTACACAATTTATTTACGTCACCAGGCACTTGCCTCTTGCCACTTGCCACACTTTGCATATCTCTGCATTAGTTCGGGACGCGTTTTTTTTTTTTGTGCTCATTACCTTTTTTTCATTTGTTTGGCTCTTGTTGTTGTCGCAGTTGGTGTCGATGTTGTTACCAAGTTTTTTTTTCGTTTTTTGCTCATTTTTCCTGTGGTTTTTATTTGTTTAGGACGAGGTGTGTCGACAAGCGGGCTGGGTTCGTTGGATGGGCGACTGCTTGCTGCCAATTTGACACTCTTAAGGATTTTGCGAGTTTGACATGCGTAACGCCATTAAATTTATCAATTGCTCAACGCACCCTTCGCTGTCAACGTTTTTTTGTTGTTGCTGTTTTATATATATATATTTTTTTATTTGTCGTTAAAAAATTTACAAGTTTTTTCAATCAACGCTCGACGCGTGGCTCCTGCGGTTGATTTTGATTATTTACCGGAGAAACTTTTGGTTTATCCCAGACCCAATATAGTGGCAATTTATCATTAAATGGTGAAATGTTTTGCAAAGTGCAAGTTGAGCTATATTTGAGGGGGTTTCCTGGCTGTCTCAGAACAGACTCTCGACAAGTGGTTCGATAAGTGTTGACAAGGCAATCGCATTTTCGCTGAGCATATAATTAATTAAGTTATTTTTTAGACATAAAATCTGTAAATTCAAGAATTTCGACTACATTATATGCTACTAGTAAGAGTTTTATTGATTAAAAGCTAGAATAATGAAAATTATCTACATAATTTCAAAAAAACAAATCGACACAAAATGAAACACGGTTCTTATTTCGGCAAATAATTTCTAAGAGTTTCTAGAAAAGATTTTGGAAATTCGACCCGCAACAGTGGTAAATTACCTCACCGTCCGATCGGAAGTGATATTATAAGCTGGTATTTGTTAATGATCAGGGACAAAAGGAAATTCTAGCAGGTGCAGACTAATCCAGTCCTTTTATGTTTATAATACACAATTGCACATTCTTGTTAAGAATTAATTTTCCGCCTCAATTTTTGCAATAGTTGACCTTAGATGTAAGCAATTATTTAGTGAGCTTGGGAAAAGGTAAAGATTTTTTATGTGGCATGCTGAAGCATATTCTTGGCCAAGAGCAAGAGCAACAAATAATTTGTAATATTATTTACAATTTCTGTACATTTTAGATTTATGGGGTCCCGCATAACTTGTATTTGCATTTTCTTCATATGATTTTATGCCCTGATTTATGGATACAATAAAAATCGATGGTTCTTTTTCATAAATCGAAGCACTCGTTAGGTTTATGGGTTGTGTCACAGGTGCGCTTAAGATTGGGAAGCGTTAAGATTGAAGGAGAGCGCATGTGGGGTCGCGATGGGGCAGAGAACTTTGAGAGTTGAGTTGCTTTATGGCTGCTTCTAGCCACTAAGTGGCAAACTAACGGCACAGCCATATGACAAGAGTTTTCACTTTTATTGCCAACATTTAACAGGCCATGACACGAACACGAAGCTTTGGCCCAGCGGCGGCGGCTGCGGCGGCGGCTGCGGCGGCAACTTTTTCATCATCAATTTGCTTTATGGCTCGGAAACGGCGCAACGTTGCAGCCACTTGTCATAACACAGCGTTTAGTTAGCAGCGCCAGTTGCCAGTTGCCAGTTGGCTTAAACGAAAAAAGATACAAGATACAAAACTGCAACAGCCAGGCTGGCGGGCAGACGGATTCGGTGGCAGGCAACCTGACCAGGTGGCGAGGGGACCAGCGGCAGCCAGTTCTAGCAATCCCAGCAGCTAACCGGGCATTGTCATTGCCACTTTGCCAACATTTTCACACCCAAGCTGCGAGGGCAGCGACAATTTGTCGACGTCGGGGGAAAGGCGGAGCTGGTCGAGAGAGCTGCCTGAAAGTGTTTAGCCGGGTTGCATGTCCATGGCGTGTAACTGGCTTGTATCTTTTGTAGCTCTTACTGCCCCCCCCCCCCCCTTCTCTCTCTCTCTCTCTCTCTATCTCTCTCTTTTTCTCTCTCTCACTGTCTCTCTGTGTCTCTTCTCTGGCTGCACCCTTCGCTGACCGCCATCGCTTCAGCGATTTTGTCAACATTATTCAAGCATAAACATGACCCAGCGCTGACGAGCGCCCCGGCAACGTGATGCCACGAATCCAGCGAGTCCAATGGAGTCGCCAACGACTCCAACGGCTTCACCGAATGCTACAAATGGTGCAAAACGTTCAGAACAAGCATTTAAACGTCGTTAGGTTTGTACAAATCAAGATAAATGGCCCTGGAGCATGTGAGCATTGAGTTGGCCGGGCGGATGGTGTGAGTCCTTCACTGTCGGACGGGGTTCAGGTGGACTTTTCTGTTTACATAGGACAATGCAAAGTAGTAGCGAAGGAAGAGCTAAAAATACTTCAAAAATTCAAAAACTTAAACTTAAAGTTAACCAACAGTTACCATTAAAGAAATTGCGAATATAAGCTAAGTATAGATATTCTTGATATATTAGTGGAAATTCCTCGACTTATCGGTATCTCTCCCAATTAATATCTGGAGAAATCAAAAACCAATATTCCTCACTAAATGGCCCGAGTGCTAAAAACATAAATGCAGAATATGTTTATGATACTTATTTTCGCTTATCAACTCTAACACGTAAAGTTCCAGCGATCGAAGAGCTCACTTCAACTGGCAGCCATACGCATATACACATGAATATGAGAAGCCTAACTTATTTTAATATTTGAATGTATTTGAATATTTAAAAAATATGTTTGTTCCTGTACACTGCACTGAAAGTCTGAAAAGTAAGCTAAAGCTATTTATAAGTAAGTCGAAGATTAGGTATTTCGGTGAGCAACAAATATGCTCGTCACTCAATTCATAAACGTCACACATACGACTACCAACAACACCCCCGGACACACTCCTTTGGCAATGGCAAGCCGCAAACAAAGTTTATAGCTAAACAATTTCCGGCCGTGCGTTTACATTATTAGCATATTGACGAACCGGGCCCAAAAACTGTCTAGTCATAAAACTTTTACCAGGGCTTAGTATGATTTTGATGGCAAACTTTTACTTTGCCTTGGCACAAGTCAGAGCACATTATCATCGCCCGAGCTACTCACAGACATCATGCCAGACGTCAGAGGAGATTAATCTTAAGGGCGCGGAATGAGCAGATACTGGGGCAGCTATATGTAAAATGAAATTAAGTCACAGCTGAGTAAACACACTCTGCCATTGGCTTTAAAAAGCCAAACAAATTGGCTGCACTTGCCTCCAGCCAAGAAGCGACCATGCTCACTTTAACTAGTCGAGCAAATAACTACGATAGTTGTGCGGTATATAGCTACTACTAAGTAGATGAGTTTCTTGTAAGGTAAATATTAAAGACTATTTTCACATACAACTTACATGGGGGTAAGATTATTTTCCCAACTATACGAACTGCCTGCTTAAGCAAGGTAATTATGAAAGAGCAACACTAGTTTATATGCATGTTAACTTTAAGAGGCCAAAAATAAGTTTCCTTACAGGTCGATACTAAAGTAGTACACTATATTAACATTTAACAGAGGCAAACTTTTAGCATGAGGGTAAACAGCTGGAACTGAAGTATTTAGATTCTCTATCAATTAAATTTAACATTAGCAAGAAAGTTCCTTGCTGTGCTGCCCATAGGCCAGCACTTAATGTGTCTCTATATATTTGCTTAAGTTATTCTTTGTTTTGGATTCTTTCGATCTATTCATTTCCATGCTATGCACATCATTGCACATCAAACGTCGGTGCTGCCTCATTTACAGCATAAAACGCACAATTTGCCGAGCGTTTATTAAGACAAGCAAACCCAGAGGTTGTCTGTCCCCTTCAAAATTGCCCCTCCTCGCTTGCCTAAGATAAGGCAAACATAATCAGCATCAGGGCAGACAAGAGACACTCGAAACTTCAAATGCATTTGTCTTGATGACTTGGCCCAAAGCAAAAAAAATACAACGAGAAATGATTTCAATTAGCGCAATTATTAATAGGTATTCCAGTTCATATCGGCATCTGCTGCATTCGAGTCAAACGCAAATCGCTTACAAGATTGCATTTCTGCCCGGAAATTAGATTAATTAGAGCCGATTCTGAAAATGCATGAACAAGATTTAATTAAACGAATATGAATCCATATGGCAAAGAATAACAACATTGAAAATGCATTGATAAAAGTGATGAATCAACTGGTTTTAATTTAGAAATGTTATATAGACTAAAGATATTTTAGGCTATAATTATATTATGGATGTGTTTAAAATAGAACTACGCGAATTGTGATATCCATAAAGCAAATAATAACAAATCAGCAACAATATTGAAGTTGAGCCCTATAAAGATATGGCCCACTCAGATATTTGCGCACAGCCACTTTTTGATATATTAAAATTATAAAAAAAAATATTTTAATGATGATGAATGAAGGAAGAGTTGCATTATATACATAGATTACTACTCATTTTTTGTATTTCGCGCGAATCCGATTCATTATATAATTTAATTCAAGTGTGTTCTGAGCATTTATGTGTATATGCTTATAATATAAATTATGATAAGCTAACCGCTCCAGCTCATTGTAAAATTTAAATTCAACACGCCTTAGTGCTACTTATCGAATTCCGTTCAGTGTTTATGGGTCTTAGGTCCGACACGGTTGAGTGCGGCGCTTGAAAATCTATAAAAAAAAACGCATACGACAATGGGAAAGTATTTTGCTGTGTTTGTTGTTCAGTTTATAATTTTGGCACTATGCGTAGCAAATTTACAATCCGAAGAGATAAGTGAAAAGAAAGTCGAGGAATTTCAAAAAGAGTTGGATAATTATAGTAAATTGATCGAAATAAATGAAGATGAGCTTAAAAAGATGGAATGGGAATTAGACCTGGAGATTAATAGCTTTAGTGCAGCAAAAACCAACATTAATAACCAATTCACGGACTTGCAAAACCAATTGACAGAATGTCAGCAACAGTCGAACAACCAAACCAAACAACACACAATAAACACCGAGTTAATAAGGAATTTTATTACCAAATTCAGTCAACTAATTGATGATAAGGCAAACGAAACACAAACATTGCAGTCTAATATTGCGGAGGCTGACTTAAAACTACGCGAGCGTGATTCTGAAATTTCTAACTTGAAAAATGCTCAAAGGGAGTTGCAAGCAAAACAGCATACTCTTGAGGAAAAAATTAGAGAACTTAACAAAATAATTCATATAAATGAAAATCAGTTTCGAAATTGCCAAGCTCAATTAAAGCCAGAAATACCAACAATGGAATCTAAGCTAAGACGCGAAGAAAATAACACCCATTTGCCAACTACAAAGATCCAGCTCAACGTACCGAACAGTTGCATTTCCTCAAATGGAGTTCAATTTATACAAGTTGCCGATTCCTATCCCATCTACGTACTTTGCGATAAGAATGTTCTCGGGCCCGGCTGGATGATAATTCAGCGGCGTATTGATGGAAAACTTGCCTTCAATCGCAACTGGGCTGATTACAAAAAAGGATTTGGAGGTTTTCATAAAGAATTTTTCCTTGGGCTAAGAAAACTGCATCTCATCACAAATGCACAACAGCACGAATTGTATATTCGGTTAACTAATTTTAATAATCGAACGTATTTTGCTCACTATGCTGATTTTAAGATCGGTACTGAGCAGAACGGATACCCTTTAGAGGTACTCGGAAATTTCAAAGGAAATGCAAGCGATGCCATGACTGAAAATAGATTGCAAACATTTAAAACTTATGATCGTGGTAGTCCCTATCAGAATAATTGCCCGAATAAGTACTCTGGTGGCTGGTGGTTTCCTTCTTCTTCTTGTGGAAACAGGTAAGTAAATATATGTACAATTATTTGTAATGAATATCAAAATAATCCAAATCTCGTTTTAAATGAATTATAGTAATCTAAATGGACAATACGACTCTTGGAATCAAAATAAAATATTCTGGGGCAACTCTCCCCCCTATTCCATAAAGACTGTCTACATGATGATTCGACCCAAGCAAGCAAGAAAATAATAATTTCTTTAAATTATAATACGATTAATTACTAATTACTTTCGTTATATAAATATAGATATAATTTTTCTGCAATACTACACTTCCTCTTTAGCATTTCTCGTATCTCCGCCTGTGTGGAGCTGTTTCCATCGATAACTGCGACTGTTGCCCGGGCAACGGCCTATCCTCTTAGGAACACTTGACTAGCGCCTTGACAATGGGCAGCTAATAATGCAATCGATATTAAATTAATTAATATAAGCTCTTTGGTCGCAGGACAAACAATAATACCTCTCTCTATATATAAACTAATACTATGTCTGCATATAATGCCAATTTCACGCTCGCCGTACCGTAAGGCAGAGTTAGCTGCACATTGGAAACCGCCAACATTTAGCTTATCGCTCCGCGGAAAGCCAGCAGCAATAAAAAGTCAATAAATTAGTTGAAAATGTGCAACTGGGAAACTGTGGCTGAGGCCAGTCGAGGGTATAAGCTGCGTATTTAGCGTATTTTATAGCTACAAAGAAGTCACATAAATAAATAACAAGATGCTTAACTGGAGAGAATCATTTAAATACCCTGCATCCATTGCAATTAGATAAATATCAAATGATTAACTTATCTTCAAGAACTCCCTCAATCTAAGCTCCAAAATAAAACAGAAAGTAACAGTTTTTAAATAATATGGGAGAAGTCAATTCAAAATAATGACAGCTGATTTTTGTGCACAACAAGTTCGGAAATTAATTGGAAAATAAAAATATTTCAGATTATTCGGACACCGCGAATGTTTCCTCAGTACGTTTCGTATTTATAACATTTAACTGAAAAAAAAAAAAATTGAAAGCAGTAGCTTCAAACATTTTATGGCGTTAGTCGAAAATATTGGATTGGAAACACACCTCCGTACCACCTGGCAGTGCCACAAAATCTGAGAGCCTGCCACCAAACAGCAATTGCGAGCCGTTGCTCAGGTGACGAAATGCGTCTTGAAGGTACGTGATGTGCCTGGCAAGGACCCCAAAAATGTGGACTACCAAAATCCGCACCATGGGGTGGCACATTAAGTATGAGCAGCTAGCTCGGCGAAAAGATCCCAAAATCCCAAGTGGATGGCAATCGTTTTGGCTGCCAGACAACAATGGCTGGCATAAGGTGCGAGTTGAAGTAAATGCAATCAATACGCATAGACGGCACATAACAGGTATTACGAGTATGTATTACGTATTACGTATTATGTATAATGCATGATGTGTGCCCGAATCGGCACTCAGCCTGGGCCTGAACCTGGGCCTGTCTATGCTACACATATGAAAAATCAACGCCAAGCATAATCTATTAAATTATCCTAATTTCATCACGCACCAAATCCCTTTAGCCGTGAACCGTGCGGGCCAGGCCATGCCGGGCACCCGCATGAAAAACAATAAAAATTTGCATAATATCGGTATAATATTTTAGCATTATGTGCATGACAAAGGTGCAGAAAGTAATGGTATTATGTGCCAGACATTGCCAGCAAGATATTCACATTCAGCTCTTCACGTCAATTCGATAGCGGGACGCTATTTGCGGGTGCGGAGGCTACGATAATGGCCCATAAATGTGGCAACACATGTTGCCAAACATTTTCAAATACATTTGTTATGCGCCTGCCGAGACGAATCCACGGCACCCACTTGAAATATAGAGCTCGAGCTTAGTTGCTTTAGTCGTATATATGCTATAGGAATTCTGTGCGCGACTAACCAAGTAATTTATTTTCTCCGGTTTTGCTTTCTACTTTTGAAAATCCCGACTAATTACTTGTCTAATTACTGGCCATTTTTTTACAGCAAATTAACTGCAATTTGTTTGCTAAATCGTATTTTAAGCAGAGTCAAGCATGGTTGCAAAAGAATAGTATACCATGGCTGCATTTTAATATGTTATTTAAATTCTAAATTCTTGAAGCGAAGAGCATTAGGCTGCTATATTCTATTAAACCCTACTTAGAAAACTCTTAAATATAAATCTCTCATCAATTCTGAAAATCTTGTCTTATTTTATGTATTGTTGCTATTAATTGTAAAGTTATTTCTGATATAAGCCATTTAATTCCATTCTTTAATTTTATATTCTAATAATTTAAAGATGATAAAGACAATAAATGTTAGCACTGTCAGCATTTATCATAAACATAAATTGGCTTCAGTTAGTTATGCATATTATTTTTGGCTAGCTATAAAAATCAGATGCATAAATCTAAAAGCATATTTGTCTCCAATGACTTGGCACTCGCTCAGCAATCAGCCATAATTTATCATATCTGTAAGTAGCTCCGGGGGCGTTGCTCATTTGCCAGGCTGCGTGCAATGAACTTCCCAATAAAGTATGAAACCACATAAAATCGCAAAGAAATAAAATAAAAATAAAACAAAGTATGCCAAATAAGCGCACATTTTAGCCAGCATACTAATAGGCAAATTCGTCGTTCATATGTGAGCTGCAATGCGGTTGAGCTTTGATGATTCGATTGGGTGGCAGGACGTGCCGCGGGACATTGATGCGTAAGAGAGCGTAAAATGAAAGGAAATTGAAATGCGGGCAAATTGAATTGGACAAGGACGAGCAGCAGAAGCCCCAACCCACACCTTGCCCGCCTGAAGCAAGATGTTCTATGCTTCGTTTAACTAAGAACCAGAAACCAAAATCGAAACGAGACATAACGCCCGCAAGTATGCAACAACTTTCACTTGCCGAACTTATTGGACTCAATCAAATATTCAAAGCCAAAGCTAAGCACGATACTCCTTTATTTTATTTATTTATTTTCACTTTTTTTCCTTTGCTTTTTAGCTGCGAGACTTTTGCCAATGCATAATTAAAATCCATTAAGTGTAATTTTCCAACTCTTTCGATTACTTTTTCTTGCAGAATCCGGTTTGGGTAAACTTTTGTTAATGAATCCAATTGAAAACGTAGAATCTGTGGGTTGCCGAAGCTTAAACACCCTGGCGATTCCCAAGATCCACAATTCACATAAACAATGTTGTCTTTTAATGTGCCCAATATGTCTGGGAAAATCTGAGAGACCTGCTTAGCTTGTTTTTTCATAAAACAATTTTTTCTTATGCGAATTGATAAAATGTAGAGTGTACAAATATTTCAAAATATTTTACTTAACAATATGTCAATTTTTAGCACAATAATTATTTTTCACATTAAAAATGATTTTAAAAATATACTTTATAATATGGAAAACGCTGTCACCAATGCGTTACATATTTCATAATAAATTCAAGTAACCTTAATGTAAGAAAGCTTATATTACATACATACCAGACTATACTCTATAAATATAAGAGTTGATTCTCTTAAAATGGAGCATTTTTCGTAAGCTATTAATGCTTATTGTTTGATTCGGTTTTGGACAGAAGAATCATTCGTTTCGGCTGTCATGCATCATAAATTTTGCAGCAGGCAAATTTGTTGGCCTCATGAATGCCAAAGTGCAAAATTCAATCAATTTGAGCCATTTACCCATTCAAGTGCTGGTGACCTGGCCACAATGGTCATTCACTCGCTGTCCGTACCTCAAATATCTCTCTGTGTGCGTGCGTGTGTGTGTGTGTGTGTGTGTGTGTGTGTGTATGTGTGTGGCTTGTGTTTTTGACATTCCTACCAAAGGACAACCATAGAAATATTTGAAAAGTTCATCAATTGTAAGAGTTTTTCAATTAATACACACACACACTCGCACACGCACACACACACACACAAACACACACTCGCACCGCAATATATTGGCTTTTGATTTAGTAATGTACATTGAAAATTTACATGATCCAAACTACATAATTGTTGTTGTTGTTGTCGGTGTCATTGTAGTTTTTGTTGCTGGTCTTGCTGGGATTTCATGTCATTGATGGCTTGTTAATATTGTAAGCTGGCTCTTTCAGATATTGTAGAGCTCAAGGCTAGAAATACGCATTTAATTGAATTTTTTGCCGAGTTTTTCTCAGAAACTGTTGTTAAGGGTACATTGAATATGTGAAAAAGCCTGCAACGTATTAAAATAAAGCAGAAAAGCTACTTAAATATAAGTAACTAGTATTTCTTAAGTACTAATAAAGGTGACATGATACTTCGTGAAATTATTTCTATAATACTAAAATAATAATACAAACAAGTTTTGCAGTACTTTTCCACTTTTTCCGCTTATGTATTATATTATTTACATTAATGTTGTGGCATGTTAATCAATATTTTATAATATTCTTGGCCTAACTCTTAATGGCCCCTCATAACTGAACATAGAGCATTGCCGGGTCGACAATATATTTTCATCCTATCATTAATTTCTTTATGTGTGTTTTCAAGTGGACTTTTTGCCGCTTGGCTGCTGGTTTTTTTTTTGTTGGCCGCTTGTTGGCCGGGGCCATAAATTGGCAGCATTTTGTTTATTAAAACTGTGCATAGTGCTGGGTAACGACAAAAAGTCAATTTGTGCCATAATGAACTGTAAACCGGTAAACTGTCGCCCAATCGGAGTTTATAGCCATTTAAACGCGCTCACCGACAAAAACCAACACACACACAGACAGACTGGGCTAAAAGGCAGAGCGGGGGTATTGCATGTATTGATTTAATATCTGTGCTGCCTGAGGCCAATTTAATCATCATTTGTAGAAAATAATTAAAATTTACAATAAGAGCCAACTGGCGACGGGCAGCTGGGCCCGTGTCTGACCATGCGATATCTCGTATTCGTAATATTCACTGAAAATGTTTTAATAACCTGTAAAAACAATGAAGTGCGGGCCTGAGCTTGCCCCCACAGACAGACAGACATACAGACACACAGGGGGACAGGCAGAGAGGTAAACAGACATCTCAATGAAATTTGAAGAGGCAAAAACTACGACTCGACTGCCGCGTGGAGACTGGCAGCTTGCCTCAGTTGCAAGGCACAAAAAGTGTGCAATACGCCGCGCGATAGTACATGACTAAATGATACCCTGTAATGGTGTAATAATACATTAGACGCAATTTCAAGTCTACAGTTCGAAAAAAGAAAATAATTTCTTACTTACAACTAGTAGATTTTAAAGTTTTTGCAACTATCGTCAACGTATCTTTCAGGCGATACTATCTTCCAGTTTATACAAAATATAATAAAATATATATATACTAATAAAATATATGTAGGCATATTCTGCAATCGTTACCTCCCAGACGATATGGATTTAATAATAATGAAGTCTTGCAAATTGAAAACTTAAATAGTTGCCTACTATCGTGAAGTATCTTCCAGGCGACACTGCTTATTATATCGAATATTTTTAAAAAATGTGTGCCTTTTGCGATTTTGCATATTCCACACGAAACTAATTTTTATCTGCTGGTTTTCTACTCTAGAAGAGGCCTATAGAGGCCATATAGAAACGCATATACTCCTTTTTGCCTGGCACTTTCTGATGCCATACCCAGGCAGCAGTGTATAAATAATGTCTGCCTGGCTGCTGCTTAACAGAATGTTGTGTGAGTGTGTGAAAACTTAAACTAAAAATTCCTCTACCCTTTATGACGGCCCATAAAATGTGCTAATTTCGTTGACATTGCGCAGACGATTTGTAATTGTGCGCCATAATTTTGTTTAATTTGGAACTGCTTTCATTTAAATAGCTGACGCCGACCATAGCCCAGCAGCTAAATGCATGTAGTTTGCCACGGCTTAGCCTCGCAGTTGGCACAGCTCATAAATTAGTGCCATATACAAGCATACGGATCCTAAGTGCTATATGCAATACATTTGGCTATTGGTTGGTCGCCTTTTGTTGCCCCTTTTACGATGCCAGCAAATGTCTAAATACGAAGTAATACAACTTGTACGAGCTGCTCTATATGCATTGTGTCTTGGTCTGGTGTGTGTTTTTGTTTCGGCTTGTGTAAGTGCCATTTCAAGCTCATTAGTGGCCATAATTAGCCAGCTCCAGTTTATGGCCCACAGACACAACAGGCGTGGAGACAAACGCACCACTGCAGACGATATTCCCACTACAAATGCGAGTAAAAAAACATGTTCCGCGCCTTTAGCCATTTCTGCATGCCCTTTACTACGACAAAAGTTCGCTATAAATATTAAAAGTATTTTTCATGAAAAAAACACAACATTTATATAGGGTCTAATTTGTATAAAATAATCAATTAAAAATATAATTTTTAAATTTTTAAATATGATATATATTTTTAATAATGAATAAAGTCTTAGCAATGCCGTAAAAGTCTGTGAAAGTGTTGTAATTTATAGAGAAAAAAGTTTAAAAAAATGTCTGACCCTTGACCAAAAACAACTACGAAATTGCTTATCACCAAAGGTTTAAAAATATCATATGTAAAGGGGAAGAATCCGTTAAATATTTATTCCCAAATCTTATGTAAATAAATATAATATAATTTTTGTAAATAAGTAAATATCCATTATGAGTGAAGGCCAAGCTCTGTTAAATTCGCCCATAATTTATTCAGTTTTCACAACATTTTGGCAAAGAAACGACTGAAAAGCATATTCAACACGTATTTGAAAGGTCTTAGCCTGAGCTCAAAGAATGTTTTCAGTTACAAGTTAAACATGTTTATAAACTGAAAATAGATTATGTAGTATATGTTTGTTCTCATATGTCCCATTGTCAAGCATAATCCCCGTTTGGGCAGGCCGCGTGCAAAATGCCAAACACTCAGCCAACCGTAAAGGGCATATGTATTCGCAGAGAGTCAACAAAACAAATAAAAGGAACAGAACGCAGATACTTTTCGGCTGCCCTCGCATTATATTTTACTTTTCTTGTGTTTGTATTATTTTTTCTTCTATATTCTTTTTTTTTTTTGCACCATTTAAAGATACTGCTCTGTGCTGGCGGGACGAGGCGGGGACTGAGCTCTGCGGTAACTTTATGGCCCCGTGCATTACAAACTGAAACATGTGTTTATTGTCCGACAGCCTCTTTGTTCCCGTCTCTGTCCCGACCTGGGTATGTGTATCTGTATCTGC